TTTTTTATCGATAACTTATTAATGATGGTGAAAAAGATTCAGACATTTTTGGGAATTTTCTTTTTCCACCGCAATTCGCCATAAAATCGTGAGTTGTATGGCCGCCACACGTAGTCCCCGTCCCCACCATTCCGGTACTTCTCCAGCATTTGAAAGCAAAACTCTGTCGGAAAAGGTGTCAAAAAAATTCTGTCAAATAGAAAATACAAAAACAAACTTGTTTTGCAAATATAATAATCTAATTAAACTTTTAATATGCTTTTCAATGTTAAATATTGTAATTAGTAATAATTAGTGATAATCATTATTGATAAATATAATTGTTAAAATTCTAATAACATATTTGAGCAACATATATTTTTATCAAATACTTTAATAAATTAATAGTTATATTTGTACTTTACAAACGCAAATATAAAATAAATATTAAATGAATTTGACACTGTATAATAAACCCCACTGTATTTAATTTAATAAAATGATAACATACAATTAAAATATATAAAATACAATGACAAACCTTTAACATCCTGTAGGGGCTCAATATAAACCTCATCGGGTCTGGTGGTGGTTGTGGTGGACTTGTATTGTCGGAAATTGTCGGGAAGTCGTCGCTTAATATCTTCACTCTTGTCGTCCGACTCAAGAGATTCAATATTTGGCACAATTATATGAATTACGAGTATTAGGCAAACAATTGTATTCAACATATTTTTCCTAATATTTTTAAAGTCCACAAAAAGCTGTCGATTCCACTGAAGCCCAGCACTGGTATGAAACGAAATTGTTATTTAAAAAACTTTGTGACACATTTGCGTTACACTAATAATAATGGACTTCACATAACAATAGACCGATTCCTGTGTAATGTTTTTTGTTGTAGTGAACGGCTATTCATTATATACAGTATATATTTTTATTGTTGAAAAGCATGTATCAAAACGGACTCGTATTTCATGAAAATATTTTTATTTTTTCCCTTTTATATCAATTTACGATATATAGTACAGAATATTCTGTGTATTGAGTGAATTCTGTAAACGGAGTTCACATCAATTTATTTATTATGTTTGGCTTCCAATGCACTCATAATTATTAGTTACGAAATAGTTGTTCATTGAGTGTATTGGAAATTATTTATATTAATCAGTGGGATGGTATGTGTTTAGTTCGTGTATTAC